TCTCTCTCTCTCTCTCTCTCTCTCTCTCTCTCTCTCACTCACCCCTGCATCCTTCTGCAGGAGAGCTGGAGCTTAGTATTAGAATGTATCTCTGCTGCCGGCATCTAGTTATCTCTCATTGGGTTACCCTCTTTATAAAATGCACCTTCTTGGTCTTTATCACTGATCTTCAGCTTGCCATTGCCAACACAGGTAAGGGGATGCACCCTGATGCTTGCCTAGTGCCTGCATAACTTTGCTGCCCTGCTCATTGTTCATGAATTCTGGAACTGGCTTCACTGTTCCACTTTCGGGAATGTGCTGTGGATGTGTTGGCTTTTAGAGCAGTCCTGTTGAATTACGCCTGCTGAGGAGAGGTTGGCTAGTTGAAGGGAGCTTGGGGGGGGATTGAGATGGCCTAGCAGGGGGGAAAAACCAGGGGGTTAGAAGATTGTAGGACTGAGTGAAAGCAGATGTGTAATATAAAGTTCCTTACAATGGGGGAGGTGGAAAGAGAAACTTTTTGGATACTACTTCAAGTTAAAGTCTGGTGCTAAACAAGTAACACTTTCTACCCCGTGCACAATTAACCTTCATGACGTCACGTAAGACCGAAAACAACTCCACTTCTCTTTAATAACGTGGCTAGATATCATCGTTAAACAGCATTTGGTTTTGGGTATGGGTTTATGTGTGTAGACAGGCGGTTTTCTAAAGTAAGCAGAAAGTTTGTCTTTTTCATTCCCCTCCTGTGTTTAGAATGTTCTGTGCACAAGGCCGAGCCCAAATTTTGGATCTGCCAAGTCATCAGAAAGCTGAGCAAATGTAATTAACGATACCGTTTGAATGTTTGATTCATTTGCTTTAACTGTTATTTAACTCTGCATAAACTGTTTTCTTTAACTTAAATACATATCACGTTTGCGAATCACTTTGGTACACCATCTTCCAATATCACATTGGTCGGTCCAATCTTCACGCCGATGCGGAGTATAAATATGTAATTATTAATATTTACAATAGCAATTTTTTTTTTTTTTTTTGCATGTAGGAAATTAAGGTAAGTTGTCATTGGGTTGGGATCATTGAAATGGCCCACAAACACTTAATAGGCAGTTACCTGTATAACTGTAATCATTCAGAAAAATCATGAGGTAGCTCTGTCACCGCGGAGAGAATCCTATTACTGGCACGTCATTGATTTAGGCTTAATATGCTCTATACTTGTTTCATATGGGAGAGTGGGCCATGACTTCACATTATAAATTTCACTAGGGCCAGTAATTGATGTGGAATACAGAGGACCCCTGTGCAGAAACACATTCTAGGGCCCCTGTTTCACCTCCATCACTTTACCCTTTTAGGATGCCACCTCATGGTGATGATGATGATGAATTCCACTGTATTTTGTGCTTTGTAACATGTATTGCTAGGTTGCTAATGTGTTCTCGCTGAAATCTGGAACTTTGATAGATTATCTCCAATAGATGCTGATTGGGGACATAGCCTCTTGTCAGTGCCCATCTTTCTTTACCAAGCTCCACCTTCGCAGTCTCAAGGATCTCTTGTTCTGCAAGGGCTGTTGTATGCAATAGAAGATACACAGGGCCGCCCAATGGGGAGCCTTTGCTATGAAGCTTCAAGTATCAGTAGGCCACTGTTATAGAAACCCCCCATAAGGTCGCCACTCTGTCAGCATGCTCCTTCTCTATATACAGTGTCAATGAGTAATTTCTGCCCGACTTATTTTGTCCGGGTTTCAGCTGCCATGAAACCCGGACACAGCATTCAAAACCCGGACTGTCCTGGTGAATCGCGGACAGGTGGCAACCCTAATGTAATCCCTATTTTAATTACCATGTATCACAAGCAATTGACATTTTTAATAACCTTCTGTCTTCATCTTTTTCCATCCATTTTTGCATCTCAGTACTGCTGATCTCCTCCATCCTCTTTCAGTCACTTCCTCTCTGCACAGTCTGCCTCCAGCATGTACATCTTTGCACAGGATCAGTTTCTTAATAACATGCCAGGACACTGTCTGTTGTTATGGTCATTTGTAGTCTCCACCAGGACCGCATATGACAATGCAGGAGCACAATTGGGAGATAGTTGCCTGCCCATAACAGGAAGTGCCTGAAGAAGGACCTTTTGTGGCAGGATCACCAGGTATCATGTTAATGAAAGCTACAGATTTAAAATGTTAAAACAACGTTTGAATTGACATTAAACCTGTTAAAATGTATATAAGATTTGACTGATTGGATTTAAATCTACTCGTTTACATGAGGCGATCTGGCATTGCTGCGGCGGGAACCCACTGTATGGCCAAAGCATCATTGTGCTGAAATACCAAATGTCCATCATGTGACGTTGCTGCAACCCGCCAATTGTCGGTCTCAATGTTATGTTTCCTCCCAGTTACTTTAAAGTATATGTAAACCCAATCTCTAAAATGTCATATAAGTTATAGAAGCCTTTCTCAACCAGGGTGTTGTGGCACCCAGGGGTGACTTCTGCCTTCCTCACGGGTGCCTCAAAATGTCTTTCCATGGTGCAGGAAGGCATCTGATATGAAGTGGGGACTCTGATATGAAAGTGGGGTTGTGATATAAATCGGGGACTTTGATGTGAACGTGGGGCTCCTGATGTAAAGGAGGAACTCTGGTGTGAAAGTAGGGGGGCTCTAATGTAAATGGGGGACTCTAATGTGAAAGGGAGACTCTAATGTGAAAGGGGGGCTTACGATATGAAGAAGGCTTTTGATATGAAGGGGGGCTTGTGTTGTGAAGGGGGGGGGGACTCTGATGTGAAGGGGGTTCCTAATGTAAAGGGGGACTCTGCTGTAAAAAAAAAGGCTGATTCTGATGTGAAAGGGGGGCCCTGATGTGAAGGATGGCTTCTGATTTTAAAGGGGGACTGTGATGTTAAGGGGGACCCCATTTTGTTGTGTTTGTGTGAGGCCCCCTTCCATACCAAATGCATACTAGACCCCTATTGTTCCAAACTTTGTTTAAAGGCCCCTGTAGTTTTGTCATATATTGGATAGGCGTGCCGAGGGGGTGACAGCCGTTCAGCTGGGCTTGATGAAATACAGACAGTAAAAATCAGAGACAGATGACATAAGTAGAGCTGCAGCTGGTATAACTTTCCTCCTCTAGTGACAAGCATTTACATGCAACTGACTGGAGCAGGAAGTCATGTATTTGTAAACACAATGGTTTTAAATGGTGATATTTTAATCATTTTTTACTTAATGGTAATATCTTCCTACGCTTCTGCTCTGACTGACATGCCTTTGTCCTGAATAGTATGCTTTTGTCAAAATAAATTATATATCTATATAGATATATAATTTTTATAGTGTAAAGAGTGTTGTAACCAAGTGCTTGAAGCTTTTTTTTTTGCATTAAATCATGCCCATATTGAAGGTTAAAGTGTAACTGGGTTACTGGGTTAGGTAAAAAAAATAATAATAGAAGAACTAAAGAGCTGAGATTCTTACCTTTCCTTGGTGAAAATGCTGCTTCAGTTTCCCTCCAGTGCTGCTCACATAACCAAATGCCTCAGCTGATACTTTCCTTCCCATACTACTTGATCACACCAAATGCGGACCAGATCTGCATGAGTTTCTGCACATGCAGTGCAGTGTGTTTTGCTGCGTTCCGGGATGTTTTTGTAAAAAAAAAAAAAAAGCCTAAAATTGGCTTTCAGTGCTGTACATGGCGTTTACATGCAGTTTTTTATGCATTTGCATGCGTTTTGGTGTGTTCCAGAGCAGAAAAAACAGTGCATGCTGCAGTTGTTCCACATGCTCTGGAACTGAATGCTGTGGTGTGAACTAGAGCCCAAAATACCATTGGAATACATTGAATGCTCCACACTTGGTGTGAACAAGCCTAAAGCACACCATGCTGGAAATTCAACCTTGGCTGCAGAATATGCAATGCAACATACTGCAGTGTAAATAACCTTTATTTATCCATCCCAGCAAATTTTGTTCTAGTTTTGAATAAAGTAGAGAAGGGTTAGAACCTCTCTTAGACATTTATTGCTATCTGATTTCCCATCAGGGAGCTTTCCTTATTATTATTATTATACAGGATTTATATAGCGCCAACAGTTTGCGCAGCACTTTTCAATATAAGGAAGACATTACACTCACAATACAATTCAAAACAAGATGGTAAGGAGGGCCCTGTCCATGAGGGCTTACAGTCTAAAAGGGAGGGGCAAGTGATACATGAGGAGGTAGCTGTGTGGGGATGAATTGTTTGAGAATGTGAAGGTTCAGTGGTTAGGTTGAGGTGGTGCAGGCTTCCCTGAAGAGATGAATCTTTAGGGAGCACCTCAATGCAGTCAGAGTAAGAGATAGATGGACAGGTTGGAGTAAGGAGTTCCAGAGGATGGGAGAGACTCTACAGAAGTCCTGGAGGCGAGCATGGGAGGAGTTGGTGAGGAAGCAAGAGAGAAGAAGTTATTTGGAAGAACGGGGGGACGGTGAGGGTGATACCTTGAGACAAGGTTGGAGATATATCCGGGGGCAGAGTTGTGGATGGCTTTGTGAGTGGTTGGTAATATTTTGAATTTTATCCTTTGAGTGATTGGGAGCCAGTGGAGGAATTAGCAGAGGGGGGTTGCAGACACAGCAATTGGTGAGGTGGATGAGTCTAGCAGCAGCATTCATGATAGATTGAAGGGGGGGTAGCCTGTGTAGAGGTAGGCCAATGAGGAGGGAGTTGCAATAGTCAAGACGAGAGATAACAAGTGAGTGGATGAGTAGTTTTGAGTTTTCATTGGTTAGGAAGGAGCATATTTTGGAGATGTTACGAAGGAGAAGGCGGCAGGATTTCCTTACATGTCCTTTACTAGGGACACAACAGGAAGTGTCAGGAGGTGTCACTTTTCAAAGTGGAGGAGACTCCCAACATTATAATAGGGGTCCCCTATTGGGAGAGTTCCCCTCTACTCCTGTTCCAGTGACAATTGTTAGATTTTAGGTATAAGCCCTGTCAGACTGGGCTGAATTTTAGCTCCACTCTGGGCTTGTTTATCAATTGGATTGCCTTGAACATTGATATTAAAGAAAATGAACAAGATAAGTGAAATATGAGCACATGAGCAACGGTTATGATGAATGTCAAAAGTCTACCAAAATCTTTTGTCCATTCAATATGTCCTTTTTTGTACGTAGTTAGCTACACATGCCACAG